TGGACATGTCTCCAGTCCATCACAGGGACACCCTGGACAGGTCTCCAGTCCATTACAGGGACACCTGGACAGGTCTCCAGTCCATCACAGGGACACCCTGGACAGGTCTCCAGTCCATCACAGGGACACCCTGGACAGGTCTCCAGTCCATCACAGGGACACCTGGACAGGTCTCCAGTCTATTACAGGGACACCTGGACAGGTGCAACCTTCTCGGTGAGAGGAGGGAGCTCTACCAACTGAGCCATCGTGCTGCCCTAACTGAAAACTATAATCAGCTAAACAAGTACACCATAATATGAGTGCCTGTCACCAAAGATAAATAAGCAAAACTGTAGATAGAAAGTTAAACAAGCTAAAAATTAGGTAAAAGCAAGTTATCAAAAACTTTAGCTAATAGGTACAACAAGTGAAACGGTAGCTAAATGTAAAATTAGCAAAAGCGTAGCTAAAAGGAAAAATGAGCTATTGTAGCTGAAAGGTAAAAATATTCCAAACTGTTGCAAAAAGTTTAAAGCTGTTACATTAGCTAAAGGTCACATCAATAAAACAGTAGCTAAAAGATACATTTAGCTGTGGCCAAAATTCATCGAAGTTAAGTCAGGTCCTCTGGACGGTTTCGTCTTGTGGAAACGTTTCATCTTTCATCCAAAAGACTTCATCAGTCTGAGTCGGACTGATGAAGTCTTTTGGATTAAAGACGAAACTTTTCCACAAAAAAAAAAAAAAAAAAAAACTGTCCAGAGGACCTGACTTAACTTGGTTGGATTTTTTAATCTGGATTACTGAGCATGAACTTTGATGTAGCCAAAATGTTTCATAAGCAAAACAGTAGCTAAAAGATAACATAGGAAAATTTATAGTTCAAAGGTCAAATGAGCTAAAAGAGGTAAAATTAAACAGTAGCTAAATATTAAAATTAACAAAACTGTGGGTAAAAGTTTAAAGGTGTAACTAGTCAAAAGGTAAAACAGTAGCACTAAGGTTTAAAAAGCAAAACTGTAACTTGTAGCTAAAATAAGCTTAAGTGGGTGCAAAAGATAAAATAATTGCCAGAACAGTAGCTGAAAGCTAAACTGAATAACCCAGTAGGTAAAGTCTCGTAAGAAGCCGGTAAGAGAGGAGATATTCTGAATTAAGACTTCAAGAACGGTGTTTTTGAAGGAACTGATTTTATGTACACAAAATATTTGTAAATAAAGTTTAACAAAAAACACAGTCAACAACTTAGGCTGATGTTTTGATGAAGAATCAAACTGTGCAGAAGTAGTTTACAAAAGAAGCTCGAGCTTTAAACAACAGTAGTAAACAACAACAACAACAGGTAAGTTTCTTGCAGTGCACAGTGAGGTTCTGTTAAAGTTCTTGGTTCTGATTGTGGTCCAGAAGTTTCAGACCGTTAGTGAAGATGTTCCAGCTGTTTATAGTACAAGTTCTAGTCACCAGTTTGAGTAAAAGAACCCGTTTCCATGTGCAGTGTTTGGGCGTCTGGAACGAGTCGGGCCAGCTCGGCGTGTAAACACTGAATCGGGTCGAGCTCAGGTGAGTTGACCCGATTCAACCCGAGCTCAGCTGACTTGTTGCTTGTGAGTCTGTCCTACAGCGGCGCAGAGAACATCTGAGCTCTACTTCCTGTTGATATGAATGTGGGTAAACAAAGCCGCCCCGTGGGTTTATACACCTGAGGATCGGCCGTCTCGCACCACACCTGTCGTGTTCTGACGTACAACAGCCTGGACCAGTTCTACTCCTCTGAGGCGAGCTGGGCCAGATTGGAGGAAGTTCTGATGCTGCTGAATCTTCTGTCCCTCCATGTGTTGTCGCTGAGTCAGCATTCGTTGTTGTTGTTGTCCTGTTTTTATTGTGTGTATGTTCATGAATAGACCGGTCACGATAACAAATACTGCTGGGCGATTAAATGTCACAGATATTATTGCGATAAACGATAATATTGTTTGAAATTTGACAATAATTAGAAATTAATGTCAAATTTAAGGAGAAACGTTGGTTAATTTCTGTGTGTAGTAACTTTTTTGACCACTGGAGGGCAGTATGAGACTGTTTGAACCGAAGGATGGATAGTGAGGGAGCGAGCAGCGTGTCTCTTTAAGAAAAATGGCAGGGAGGACAATTTTCAACCGTGAGTTTTGGAGCTTCGACAAGACTGAGGATTTTTTCCCCCGAGGTCGGCCTGTTAGCTTAGCTCGTAGCTTAGCTTCTCAGCGTAGCTGCTTTTAACGATCCAAAAATGTGATTTTGGATCGTTAAAAGAGAGAGGGAGGGGTCAGTGAAGAGCACCTGAGTTGAGCCTTTTGTCGTCCAGTGTCTTCAGTAGAACGAGAGACACGAAGAAACTATAAAGCCGATAAATGAAAATGAGGTTGATAATTTTCATTTATCATGTGATTAATTGATTTATTGTTTATTGTTAATTGTTAATTGTTTATTGCGACAGGCCTATTCATGAAGCATTCATCCATTTTTCTTCTGTACGTTTCTCTGCATCTTTCTCTTCCTGCAGGTTTCAGCTATTTCAACAAATCATAAATCAAAACATTCGGCTCTTTCAGGACAATCCTGCTATGACTTTTGGTATTGGTGCAACTTTAGCCTTTTGAAATATTTAGCCTTTTCTGTCACTTTTTTTTCCTCAGAAAATGAATTGAGCTCATTTTACCTCCTTCAAATCTTTAGCTCTGTTTACAACCTTTTACTGCTCCTTTCACATTTTGTTCTGCTTCAGCTTCTTTCTGCAAATTTAAACTTTTTTTCAGCTACTTTCAGCTGATTTCAGCTGTTTTTCTGTGGCTTTGTGCTCCTTTCAGATTATTTCTGCTAACTACAACATTTTTGTGCTTCTTCTAACTTCTTTCTGCTCATTTCAGCTTCTGCTCGTTTCAGTTTATTTCTGCTAGTTTCAGCTTTTTCTGCTACTTCAGCTACTATTTAGCTGTTTTATGCAAATTTTAGCTTTTTCTGCTAATTCCACATTTTTTGCACTCAAACTTTCTTCAGCCTAATTGAGTAAAAATGTGCTTTCTCCACTTCCTTCTGGTAATTTAAACTTCTTTCTGATTTTTTTTGCTACTTTTTAGCAGTTTTTTTTATTTTTATTTTTTGCTAATTTCAACTTTTTTCAGATAAATTCCACTTTTTGTGCT